CCAGTTTGGCTGTTGTTGGCCGTACTCACCCATTTTTCGGTTGCGCTCCCTAATACCGAGTATTCATGTTTTTGTTACAATGCGGTAGTTCTAGAGGTTGTGATATTATGAGAGGAGATGCGACTGTTAAAAATTTTTGGCGAAAGAAGGTAGAGCACAGGTTCATGAAAATACGAGGGGCTGGAAGGGCAGAGACTAATGGCACTTACGAGTTACGATACGTAAGTGGAAACGATGCGAAGGAAACGAAAAAGAAGGCGGAGATTGTGACGGAGACACCGCGGGCAGAGACGAGATACTGACGGGAATGGAGGCAGAGGTACGAATTGGATTTGTAAATATAGTGGCGTACGCGATGATGGAGGCAGAGTTAAAGACTGAAGCGGAGGGCCAGTAGGTGGGAGACCACCACAGGAACAGATGGCTGTGACATGTCCGCTGGGGCGCACACAGGTTTTGTGACAGCCGTAAGACACCTGTGTCAAATCGGTCGTACGCAGCCATGCGGTGAAGTGATGGTTCCAGACGATAGGAGCCGAGGTAGTCGCGGCGTGCGAACCCTCGTTCTTTGTGATGGTGTCACAGTCTACTGACTGTTTTACAAGACCGAGTCAAAAAGAATGTGGATGGAAAGCCGACGCGATCTGAGGACAGTATGGGTTTAAGATTCGCTCTATGCTCGCTCACAGTGCTGTTATCAAACCTCCACCCTTGTGTGTGTTCAGTGGTGCCTCCACCCAAGGGCTGAAGCTTTGTGCGACGCGCAGCGCTGCGCAGTTCGCCCTGCATTTGCACGGTTCGGTAATAGAACTGACATATTTCAGCTCGGAGCCGCCGAGCGATCGATAGTGCGTCGATATTAATGGACTTGGATCGTCGCCAGCACTCACAATAACTCAGACGGTAATGAAGATGACGCCTTAACCTGCAGCCATTGCAGACGCATTCCGCAAGTGCAATTTGAAAAGAACGCCGCACTCTGCAGTGCCGCACTTGCAGTTATCAAACCAGACAAATTACTTTTCTTTCTTTTTACCATCATCCTTTTAGGTCTGGTATGCTGTATCATTTGCCGACAGCGCTATTTCTCCAGTTTCAGAAACACCAGTAGGCTTTCCAACCTCCGCTGGCTCCAAAGCCAGGCTCGCCTTAGTTATTGGTTTGAAGTCGGTGGTAATTCAGACCTGCCGTCTCTTATACGGCCTTGCCTGCCGTCCATTTCATTCCCCAGGGCCAGTCCTAGAGCTGGTGCCACACCATCAAAGTCCGTATAGAGGCCTGGTTTGAGAGCTGTGTTGCGGACGGCGGATTAGAGTTGCAGAGGTTAAGTACGGTAGTGATTCCCGTATGATGGGAACTGGGAAGGTAATGGTATGAGACTGAACTCGACTGAGGCACACTGATATGACAGATGGGAAAGGATGGTATGTGACTTTCCTAGTGCCGCCCATTTCATGCGTAACATTCAACAGGAAATGCTAGCACAACACGTTTAATTTCATAGCGGGTCTGTTCTGCCTGAAAGAAAGCCGAGGCCTTGGGCATCGGCCTCATCATTGCATCCCAACCAAACAAAAAGCAGCATTGCATTTGCTGAGTAAGGTCCCATGAACAACGAAAGACAAGACAATACAGGGTGTTCGCGATAAATTTGACAGTTTTTCATTTCTCTCTTATTTCAAGACCAGTTGGAATATTCTTTATCTGTAAAAGGCAATATTTAGCTCAGTATGTTGTTTGTTATTGGTGGAAAAGTTGTTGAGCTTGGTTAATTGGAACCTGTCACAATCCTTGAAGACAGTGGCGTGCATAATGATCAGCCGCGCCGGTTTTCATGTTTGACTGCTGATAAATGCTCTTCAAACGCTGGTAAGGCCGCTAGAGTGAAATTAAAGAGCTGCGTTCGGAACATGGACGCATTGGCCTGTAGGAGACAGTGTGGCGACTGCCCGTTCAGCGACGGCAACATCATGAGCTACCACATCTTCAAGGGAGGTCTTCAGCTGCCCTCGTGAGGCTGTGTGAAGCTGCTCAGCGCGACAGTGAGGCCATGAGTGGAGAGAGTGACCATATGGACATCGGCTCACATGCCAACAAAACTTGTCGCCTGGCTTTCCCTCCGCGAAGAGTCAAAAGTCACTTTTGGAGAATTTCCTCAACCTCACCGGGCCGAACATTTGACCTCCTAAGTCAAAAGACTGCAATCTTATGAGCCGTTGCTTATGTGGCGTAGCTGCGAAAAACACCAGCGATGCCTGTTGTAACATCAAAGTCAAACGACCAGCAAGGCTGAAGATGGTGTCCTCATGTCTCTGTAGAGACCATGTGAAGACCATCTTCTCCAGGTCAAGTGGCTCACTGAAGGTGTTAGAAGATTGATGGGGACAATTTTTTGAATGCGTTGAAAACTACATGTACTGGGCTATCGTCTGTAATTTGAATGGTGGAAATCCATCGGTTACTTCCTGAGATATCAAGCATTTTCAACAGAGTTGGTGGAGTGTCAAATTTATCGCGAACACCCTGTATATGTAAAGCCGATCCCGTTCCATTTTGTTCTCCCTCCCCCGTCGCCCCCCCCCCCTCCCCTGCTCCCAGCCACCGCCCCCTCCCCAGTTTCGTGACCTGTTGACGAAGATTGAAGCTAGGAAGGGCATCGATCTTCGATTGTGGTCGATATTTGTCAGACGGCGGCCTAAGATGAGGCTCAGGCCGACCTGATGGGCTCTTTGGTCAGAAAGCCGCCCGCAAAATGCCAGTGCGTTGGGGGAATTCAGATAATTGAAAAAATATTCCCAGGAAACTGCCAGTGTTACGAAGCAGGATTGATGGCGAGGCGATAAATAAAATCGAGAAGCCGCGTATGCGTTCACGGATAGGTTTTCGAGGAATGGATCCATCCAGGGAAAACTTCATTTAGATCTGTGAAGGAAGTGAGGTGTTGGCTTCGGAATCATTCGTGAGCTAGCAACACAGACGTCAGCTTCTAAACTGTTGCCATTTTCGTTCCACAACCGTAAACATTGCACTGAGCAATAAGAGCATCGCAGCGAATACAAGAAATTACATGGAGACTAAAAAAGCGTGGCACAAAATAAAATAAATAAGACCGTAGCCATTAATGTTGGTCCTTCCACCGCATTCACGCCATACGACAGTTTTCAGTCCCCGTAAAAACCGCTGCGCTATTGCTCGTGTCAGCAGTCCGTTTTCCTCCTCTCCCCTCCCCTACCCCGTCCCCACGCCCACACCACATGAACGTCATGCCCACGGCGGGCCGTCCGCGGTGCCGCTCCCTAGCACACCTTTTGCGAGGAGACCTTGAGAGGCAGGGAGCGAGCCAGGCCACGTCTTATGCCACGGGGAGGCGGCGATGCATTGGAGTAGAGGTAAGGTTGCTATAGAGACCAGACCGGTTGAGCGGGGGGGGGGGGGGGAGTCAGGTGATCGCTACAGGTGATCCGTATGAGGTGATGCAGGGGTGGATGGGTGATGGTGGTATAGGGAAGGGTGTGAAAATGTGAACTGTAAGGACGGGGGAGTGGGATATGACAACTAGCCGCACTAGACAGACAGGGCAAGATATGCTTAATGCTATTGCGGTAAGGTTTCAGTGACAAAAGAGGTTCCGTTCCCAAGGAAGTCTTGTTGACCAAAACGAAACCTCACCGACTCGAGCAACAAAGCATTGGCAATTATTGTATAGATTAACGATGCCAAATCAAAAAACTTGTTTTTGTAATAAGTTCACCCCTTGACCCCAAGTGGTTGACAGGCCAGGCCAGTTAGACAATGGTTCACCGTCAAGTTTTTACACTGCAGCTATCATCAGAATAACTGTTTCGACTGGGACCTCACCGAAAAACTCGACTTGTGAGCAGGTCGATCCAGTAGGTTTTTAATTACGTTTGTGAGAATTGCTAATTGGCAAGAATGACGCATATTGAATGTTGGTCGATAGCGATTCTGAACTATGCAATTAGAAGGGACATTCTTTGCTAGTTGGCAGTCTTAATCTAAGCATCGCGATCTGAAGATCATAAAAAAACAATTAGGCATATACCTACACCAGCGCTACAACGGCAGGAAAAGCGCTCCACCTTCACATTTTCAATGTTACGCCTTGGTGCTGCAACTTCATCAAGCCGACTTCAAACGGCATCTCAGCCCTTATATAGAGCAACGGACGGGCCGCGGCCAAGCCCTCACATCTCTGGCAGCCGAGAAATTGAAATCTGATCTGGCGGCCAACGCATTATGCAGACATATCGTTTTCATTTATCAGCCACGTACCTATAGCTACTCCGGGTGAAAGAGCTAATCAAAATTCCGAAGGATCCAATTACATATATAGGAATAAACACCACGGTGACTCACATTAAAGTGAGTAATGCAATAGGTATCGATAAAAAGCTCACGGGCTAGAGATTCATTCAGGAGCCTATGCTAACTTGCCGTGACTAACCTTTGGTCAATGCCTTCCGTCTCCGCGCGACCGCGGCCACAGCCCACAGCTACATAAAGAGGCCCCAGCCACACTCATTGACAGCCGTCCCAAACACTGGACTCGGACCCGATAAACACAGCCGTCACGATTGACGGATGGCCGTCCTTCCGTCAACACGCCGCCGAACTCATCAGCACCCGTCCGTGAGCAGGCAGGAGCACGGCATGAAAACGCCGAGCCAGCGTCGAGCGCGAGCGTGAGGGTCTGACCTTGAACTGCAGCGCGACCCTGCGACCCAACACCGCACCCTCTTCCTTTCAACGGCGCGGCCAGTGCAGGTGTGTGGTTCATTCTAATGAGCGGTCTTCTGGACAAGGAATGCCGCCGGCCAGGCCCGAGTCCGCGCCGGCCCGCGAGCGCCACACGGCTGACAACCCGGCGTGCAACTCCAACTCTGCGCGTCACAACCCCGCCGCACGCGAGTCCGCCCGTCGCCAAAACAACTCCCAAACACGCTTGCCGTAATGCTAGTCGCTCAATGTTTGGTACTCACCCGTGTTGAAAATGCAGTCACGTTGAGGACCCCGTCTGACGTACGACCGTTGTTAGCACACAGTCAACCGCGCAATCTGTCAGTGTCACCACATTCAGTCCCACAGTCCCTCCACAACCACCACACAAAACACACACCGCGGGCTCCCACGCGACACTGCCCGGCCGGCCGACCGGCAACCCCCCACGGCCGACCGGCGACCACCCCGCCGCTTCCAGCTGATCGTGCCGCTCGCACGGCTTCGGGCCGAGGCGCCGCCGAGATGCTGCTGACATCTATCGGCAAAGAGAGATACTGAGTCTTTGGTCAGTGTTCCTTAGAGCTGGCAGTGGTCGGAGGGTGCTGACATCTATCGACTGTTGCAGCAACTAGTTTTACTAGGGAATGTGTCGATTTATTCGCATTCGTTATTATAATTTTGGAGCCGTTGTTATCCAGCAAAAAGGGCTATCTGAGATAATAAATTGATCGAAGAAATTTATTTAATTGGACGCTTTCATATCCATGTATTATTTCTTACTTAAAAGACACAATGAAAAGACAAACACTATCTGGCCCATGTGACGAACAGCGATTTATCAACGGTATTATCCAAACGTTACAAAAACTTACTCAGGGAAAAAAAACAAAAAAAAAACATACAAATGTAAATCAGAAGCCAGAAAGTGATTCATAATTCAGATAAACATCACGGGACAAAAAGCCGCTTCATGAACCAGTTCTTAGCAGACCTAAGGAGGGTGGACGTTCGGGGGAGGTAAATAGAGGGCACTTATTTTGAGACCGCATCACAAGCTGTGGCACTTCTTGATAATATTATTTTAAATTCTTGTAAGTTGCTTATCATTAGATTCTGTGAGCTTCATTTTTTAAACTTGCATTGCTATTTTTTTTTTTTGTAATTCAGGAACGCTCACTGCTGCATGCCCCGCGGCCACCTCCTCCGAACGGCCACCCCAAGGAGCGATTCGGTGTGGTCTGTTGCTACCCGAGTGTTATCAGCTGACCTTGAACCGCCCGGATCGCCTCAGGGCACAGCGTGGCCCGGTGACCGGTCAGAGGTCCCTGACCTGACTCGGACGGCGGGCTGCGGACGGGACGCTCTGCTGTGTTTGGGGGTGTCCGTGTGTTTTGTTTTGGGTTGTTGTACAAAGAAGTGATGAAGGTAAAGTAAACGATCGAGAAGGGAATTGAAAGTTGATTTTTGTGTGATTGAACCGGTGATTTTGAACCTTTGTGACTTCTTGAACTATCCGCGTGAAGAAGCTAGTTTGTGTCAAGTTTGAAGAGTTTATTTGTGCAGCGATGGCGGAGGAGCGTGCACGCCAGCCACAGAAGCACCATCCGTGGTCATGGCACAGAGTGTTTTTGCTGTTCGCACTGACGATGACAATGGTAAGTTGAAGTGATGAACCGCCCGAGTGTTGACGTTCTCCCTGGAAAACGTCTATTTCATTCCAGTTCAGCAAAGCATGAGCTACAATAACTATACTAATTTCTGGTGCAGCTGAAGTATTGTTTAGGCGGACATCACCATGTTACTTCATCGGGCTGACTGCTCGAGGATAAAACCAGTAAAACGCCTTTTGGGCGAAGAACGAGCGAGCGAGATAGTGAGCCCTGCACGTGCGGAAGGGCGAGAGGGTGCTTCCAACGGGCTTGCGTAAAGCACCCTTCTAACCGGTCGCTAGCGGTGTGCCAAATTTGAACGCAATCGGCCCAGCCGTTCCTGAGATCTGGAAGCGGCATTCTGCACGTGCGCACGTGCAAACGGGGTCCAAAATGACTTTTGCACGGCACCCTACTAACTGGTCCCCAACCGTGTACCAAATTTGAGCGCAATCGGCCCAGCCGTTCTCGAGATCTGGAAACGCCCCATGCACGTGCAGTAGCACCCTAACCGCAACACATGGGAATGCATTGCCTGGTGGGTGCCTACCCGTATGCCAAGTTTCAGCGAAATCGCCCCAGTAATTACCGAGTTACTGAAATGGGAACAAATTTGGCACCTCTTATTGTTGTATTTTGCACGTGTACTGGGGGTGACCCACACGCATCGAGAGTATCCTATTTTGGGTAGAAGGGATGCTACTACACTACAAAAATTACCGCAAGTCAATCGCCCAAGCGGCTGCTGAGATATGAGCCTATCAAAATCACTACTTTTGCAAAACAGCTTGAACACCCTTGACTTTTCACGTGGCACGTGCCACGACGGTCACTGAAATGTATCAAAAGTAGTCAATTACGGGGTAGAAGGGATGGGGCTACCCAACAAAAAAGATCGCAGGCCAATCGGTCCAGCGGTTGCTGAGATATAAGCCTCTCAAAAGCGTTACAAGCCGGGCCGGGCCGGGCCGGGCCGGGCCGCTCATACTGAGATTTTCCGTTATATTGAAAAGACTCACTTCGCTCGCTGCGCTCGCTCGCTCGTAACAAATTTTCAACTTCAACTCTTTTCTTTGCGATGTGACGGTGTCTGGCATACAATTTTAACAATTCCGTAAGCTTTAAAAATAACGATTTTTTGCGGTCAGGGTGGCTGGCCAGTGCCTCACTATAGTCTATGAAGCAATCAGAAATAAAAAATAAGAATAACAAACTATGCGATTTAGCCTTACAAACGATTTAGCCTACCTTCGGATAATGACGATAACACGACGTGCCCTATCTGTCGCCACTTTTTCAACCCGTTCACAGATTCTGGGATTTGTGGTGGTGGGTGGCAGCTCTGCCATGATGTCTGAGTGTAAGGAAGACGACACACGTCGGTCCGTCTACCTCAGTGATATCGTGAGGAAGTGCAACACCAAACGGGAGCTGCTGCAGTGAGTTCCGCGCTCAGAAATGCGCGCGTTCGATTTGAGTATCGGTGTCTGTCTTCTAGCGAGCACATCCAGCGGTGTGCTGTAGCTTGGAATGTTTGGGGTAGCGAAACTCAATATCACTGGAAATAAGCTTGAACCTGCCTTACGTAATTCCTCCTTTTTATCAATTTTATCATATTGCCTAAGCTATCAATTTGATTTATCTTATTACTAAATGACTTACGGCGACCTCTCGGGCACTGAGCAGCCTCTAGCTTTTACGACAACCGCCTATCGTCCCCCTAACACCCCACCCTCCCCCTCCGCAGTCAGCTGATGACAGCCTGGCAGTGCGACATTCCACCTGGCCGGCTGCCTGCTGACCTGGCGGCTGCGTCGGGCGACCTGGCACGCTCCTGTGACAGTGACCTGCTTACCCAGCTGCGTCACGGAGGCCAGGGTACCCTGGCGGCTGGGGTGCTGCTCGTGGTGGCCTCTGGTGGCGGCTACGGTGGCGCTATCAGCGGACGCAGTGGACCGCTGGCTCTGGTGAGACTGAGTTCAGTGCTAAGGTCACTCTGAAAGGGTGGATGCATCAGTTGGACAGATCTCCGCTAGTTCTATTTAGTCCTAAGCATACAGGAGACAAGCTATGATAGCTGTTTGGGTTTCGATTTCGATTTTCTGTTTCGATCCCTCTGATTTCCGAAACAATGAAGAAAAAATGTCATAAATCTGCTAATACTTTAATCGAAATCATATTCGGCGTACGTTTGAAACATCGATGCTTATAATTCCCATAGCTTCACAAATGCTCACTCAAAGCGATTATTGCACTTGCTTCAACCAACCACTGTATGCAAACCAAGTTTGTCCAATGTCCATTCACCAAGCCCACATTGACTCTATTCTATCCCCCGGCAGTACATCGTGGTGACGGTGGTGACGACCGTCCTGGAGCTGGCCGCCATCGGCCTGCTCGTCTACAACAAGTCTCAGCTGGACCATCTGCCGAAGCTGATGGAGTCGCTGCTGGCACAGCCGATGACGGAACAGGAGCTGGTGGACGTGGTGATCCTGGACGGCCCCGGAGGCATCCTGACTGCTCCTGGAGGAATCCTGACTGCTCCTGGGGAGGTGCCGACCCAAGCTACACAGCCCGGTAGAGAGAAGAGTGGAGGGGCTGGAGAGGAGTCGGTGCCTGATGGAGAGGCCGGAGAGGTTGGTGGAAAGAAAAATGGGACAGAAGTGAATGCGACGTTGCAGCAAGGAGGTGGTAATGGGACAAACCCTAGAGCTGAAGGAACGATAGATTCAGCTGGTGAAGCAGATGGATCAACAGAGGTTGGAAAGAAGTCAACCAAAGCACCAGCAATCAATGCAACAAGCTCTTCGGCAAAGTCATCAGCATCCTCACGAGTAGATTCCTCTTCATCCAAACCTCCCGCTCCCACTGAAGCTGTTAAGCCCGAGGGTAGACAAGCTATCGAAAAAACAACCACCCACCCCGAAACTGCCTCGACTTCGCCGCCTACCAATCACTCCGTCCTGCTTCAGAACACCACTTCTTATACCCCATCCCCTCCCACCTCACCAATATCTGAAAAGGTCAACATGACGACACTCTCGTCTCTCAACGAGACCTCCCGACAGCGACGACACACGGACGCAGACTGGGAGGAATCGGGAGAGGATTGGGACGACCGAACCGATGAGGTGATTTTCCACTGGGCGCCCGCTGCCACAGACTGTCTGCTGCACCCGGAAGAGAAGAACCAGACTCACTGCTTCACAGAGCTCGAGAACAAACTGCGGGTAAGGCATGTCACTGGATTTTTCTTAGGCTACTTGTTGTTTTAAATGTGAAAGATCGAAGAGTATCAGAGGTAGGTACATGTGCTATAAAAAAAAACTCATCGTTCTATACAGATATACCTACAATTCCTAAACATTGAGGGGAACAGGAAACTGATTGCCTCTTGCCATGTATTACGTTTTTAACTCAAAGGACTGTTAGAAGCGAAAGATGCGGCGTGCCTTTGCTTAAATGGTGTTATCTCTGTATGATGGCGATTTTATCATTTACATCGGTCGACGTTTTTCAGCGAGAGCTTAACCAGTCGGAGCTGGTACTGGAGCTGATGATGGCCCCGCTGGTGTGCGCCTTCCTCGCCTGCCTGCTGCAGCTGACCACCATCTGTGCTGCCTGGCACATGATTACCGACCAGCAGTCGCGCCGGCCGCGCGCGCAGGGCGCTCCCGGCCAACTCAGCACTCCCGTGTAGACGGTGAGTGAGCTGATCAAGAACGATCAGACGGATCAACACGGCTGTGTGGTGACCCTTCTCCTGGCTGGAAGAAGCGCCAAGCGAGAAACGACTAAACTCTTGTGTGGAAGTACGCACAGGGACATGTCGTGTGAAAGGGTCGCTAAATAAATGGGAAGATAAATAAAGACGTTGTTTGAGAAAAAGGAAAATTTCCATTTGATTGTCACCGTCTTATATTTTCACTACATCAATGGCATATCACAAGATACAAAACAGCGAAAGAGACACGTAGAGGAACTAACATTGTAATGTTTCCCTTTAAAACTGTGCCTCGCTACCAAGATCTTCCTATCAACGTCCATAGCTTCAACGTCTACTGAAATAAGCCTGCACAAATTACACAGGAAAGCTGAAAAATCCTGCTTGGTTCCTAAGACAATGGTCTATCATCATTCAGATCTCCCATGCATTTACAACGAAACTAATACAATACGATCAACGTCTCATTCATAAGACTAACTTACATATTTGTTGTAGTCGTAACAGGTGAACTACGCAGTACGCACCATATAAGACGACTTGAGATGGTAACAGTACACTCACTGCATGTGAGCAACATTTCCTTTTCACCTCATAATACACAATCCCCACTCAAGAGTCCACGTAGGCTCACGGAGCCGCATCGAACACGGCAAGAATGCTCAGAGTGAAGAATTGTTTCCGTCGCGTCACCAAACGCCTTATTTGTAGAGACACAGAGGGCTCTCGCGAATCCGCGATACTGTCACATTTCACGTTAGATGTGCTCGTTTGTCACTTCGGTGTCCCTTTGCTTGGGACAACAAGCAAGCCTGACAAACTTGAACGCAACGATCGTTTGAATCCCTGCTCTGAAGGTCATTTCCCGCTATGGATTCCCCACCAGGCTGATTGAAAAGGTTCCAAGCAGACTGTGTCTCCGTCAGAGCACTCTTGACCCGATGTCTGTTGGAGCGCTTCCGGTTTGCTCTTGAGCATCTCCGAGCTGATGCAAACTGTCTATGAACACATCTGAGCTCGTAAATGTCATTCCATGCACCCGAACATCGGTTTACCGATGCTTAAATGTTCACGAGGGCGCAGCAAGCACTAAATACGCACTTCTTACGCGCACCTCGCATCATCAAGTCATCCAGCTTGAGTTTTTACTTTGGAAACAGACGAGTCGGCAAACGGCACGTCATAGTGGCGTAGTCTTTAGCAGCACTTCGCGCTAAACCGGCGCTCCTACCCGAAGAAGGAGGGCTGTGCCGGCGCCATGGTCATAGTACTGGTGACATACGACGTCAGCACCGTCGACACCACTGTGGTGCTGGTGATGTAAGCGGTGGATGGTGTCGCGCGGAACGTCACCACCACCGGCCGCCGGTTGGTGTTGGTGACAGTCGTGGTGACAAACACTGGTGAAGAAGAGACGACCGTACGTGGTCCTGTCGCCGCCTGCGCTGCTGCCGCCGCCGGGTTCAGCTGTGCGAGGTACGGGCTGAGCAGCTGCAGGTACAGCAGCTGCTGCGGGGACAGCTGCCCCAACCCGCCCAGCTGGTTTGTCTGACCCAGCTGGGCCAGCTGGCTGAGCTGCGCCAGCTGACCGAGCTGCCCCATCTGGTCTAGGGGAGACGAGCTGCTGCCAAGAGCTGGCAGAGCTGGGGTGGCTACTGGAGCGGGCGCTATCACCGGGTTTCCTGACGGGGTCGCCACTGGCGTCGCCTCAGCAGTCGCCTGAGTCGCAGGCTTCGCCTCCTCTGTCGCTGGTTTGTCCTGACTGCCATGCAGCGCCAGCATCTCCGGATGCGTGCTCTTCTCGAGAAGGTCCGGATCAAACCTTCCTCCAATGCTTTCCAGACTATCCGCCTCGGGGAATCCATCGATATCCAGATGGTTGGTAGAATGCGAACCCTCCAACTGCGCATCCGACAGTGCCGAACGCTCGTCGAACAGCTCCACAGGTGGCATGGTCTTGAGCGCGGTGACGACACGCGTCACATGGTAGGTCTGGGTGATGGTGAAAGATCTCGTGTTGTCTGCGATCACCAGCGGGATCACTGACGACTTCAGCACCAGCTGTGTGGTGCTGTACGTCTCAGTCATGGTGTGAAGTGGAAGGCTGGGAGAGCTCGGGTCCAGGTGTACCGGAGGAAGCATGACGGCAGGTGCTTCGCTTGGGGAACCGAGGAGGTTCTCGATCTCGGGTCTCGGAGTCGTGGTGGTGGTGGCGACGAGAAGCACAGATGGCGTTAGGGTCGAAGAAGGAGGTATGACCTGAGATGGGGAGGGCGCGATGGTCGGCTCTACCTCCACCGTCCGCGTCTGCGTCTTCGTGATCCACTGGCTGTTGGTGTAGCGACCTAGCGAGATGTGCCTCAACGTCTTCAACGTCGTAATCTCTTGATAGAAGTCAGTGGCTCCCTCTGGCCTGAAAGTGCTGACCGCGAGGATCTGAGTCTCGTCTCCGTTACTGTTTCCTGAGACTGTGGTTGGCGCGACGGTCTCCTCCGTGGTGGGGACGGCGTCGTAGTCCACGTAGTCATAGTAGTAGTCTGCGGGACCGTAGAGCTCGTCCACGTACTGAGGAGTGGGCTGGGTGGGAGGAGGGGTGGGAGGCTCGGTGGTCGGTGGACGGGTTGGACGGGTGAGCCGGGTCCTGGGGCGGGGAGTGGGCTGTGTCAGCGGAGGATGGGTCACACGCAGACGGGAGGACTGCAGCGGCCTCCTGGTGATCGGCTCCTGGTACTGCTGTCTGATGTCCTGATACTGCTGTCTGGGGTCCTGGTACTGCTGCCTCGAGTCCTGGTACTGCTGCCTCGGGTCCTGGTACTGTTGTCTGGTATCCTGGTACTCCTGCTGCTGTGGTCGCCTGGTGCTTTCATACCGCTGGCTGACAGTATCCTTATACTGGTCTCGAGTATCATAATACTGCGCCCGGAGGTCCTCGTACGATGTCGTACTCTCCCTGTCTGCGTACTGAGGCCGGACGATGCTGCCGGCCGCCTGCGGGTAGCTCAGTCTCTCTGAGTACTGGGGCTGCGAGTCGCGGCTGCTGGTGTACCTCTGACTCCCGCGGGCTCGCTCGGGTCGCTGCGAAGTCCTGGAGCCGAACGACTGTCGGGGGATCGGCTCGGCCTTCTTCTGGCGAGGCCGCTGCAGCAGGGAGGCGGCGGTCGGAGTGGGCTCCTCCTCGGAGAGCTTCTGACGACGCTTCTCTAGCAGCTGCTGCTTGCGTCGCTCGGACGCCGACGGGCCGCGCTGTACGGGAGACAGAGGTGAACTGCGTTAGTGTGAGACAGGGATGGTAGTTTCGACGCTTAGTTAAAGAATGGTAAGTTATCATACAGATCTGTGGAAAGTAAAAGTAAAAATGCATCATTCTGATATGCGACCGATATCACTATTTGTTCGTTACATTTAGCATAGCTAAGTATTGACATCGGACAATCATTTGAAGGGTTATCGACCGAGATCAATAAACTTATCAGCGTCGTAAATAATGGCGCTCAAATTAAACAAAATTAATAATTATAAATATGCAAAAATGATCAATAACATGGCAGAAATGTAAAACTTTTATTGTAAAACAGGCCAAATATGAGAATGAGCTTTCGCTTTACAGCATCATCAGATTCATATGATGCTGATGCCGTTTCACTTCTTTCGAATGAATCTGATGATGCTGTAAAGCGAAAGCTCATTCTCATATTTGGCCTATTTTACAATAAAAGTTTTACATTTCTGCCACGTTATTGATCATTTTTGTACATTTATATATCTATTCATCATGGCAAAAAGCACCATCTCACATATTAAAAAAAATAATACACTAGATACGCCGATAAATATAGCTATTTAACTCTGACAACGTAAAATGCAATAATATCTCGAGTACCGATACAAATCTCCCTTCCTACAAGTGATACCCTCGATTACTCACGCTCCTATTCCTGATCCTTCCGCTGGAGTAGGACCGTCTGGGCGGCAGGGTGGTCGTCTCTTCCTCCTTCTCCTCCTCCTTCTTCTGCCTCCGACGAATGGAACTGGAACTGGAGGTTGGCAGTCGTGACGGCGACCCTCTCCTCCTCAGAGTGAACCGAGACGGCCGGGACGGAGCCACCACCACCTCTCTGGAAGGACGCGAACCCGCCGCCACCAGGTCGGCGAACACACTCTCAGCTCCGCCTCCCTCGTCACCGTCCAGACCTCCGAAGAGTTTCTCCAGAGGTAGGATGTCCGACTCCAGCGGCGCCGGTGGAGCGGATGAAGCTCCTTCAGCTGCGGTGGCGCTCAGATGCGCAGTCTGTCTGGCGGAAGGCTGAATGGTTCTTTGAACTGCTTTTGATGAAAAGATGGTGCTGCTGGACTGAAGGACTTGGGCGTATCTCCCGCGGATGTAGGTGCCGATGACGCTGGTGGTATGGACGGTGGTTAGGATACCAGTGACATCTGTGCCCCCGAAGGTTGTCACCAGGCCGGTGGGACGAACGTCAATCGATGAGAGCACCAGCCGACCCGGGGTAGGAGTCTCCACTGGCTCCGGGGTTGGTGGTGGGGTAGGCGGTGACTGGAAATCCAGCCTGAACGGTGCGGTCGTGGGCCGTCGGCTGGGCCGCTGTTTCACTCTGTAACCGACGTTATGTCTGAGCGAGACTCTCGTCTCGGGTGGGATCTGGACGGTAGGCGTGGCGGTGGCCTCGATCAGAATGGGAACGAGTGTCGGGTGCGGGGCCATCGGCTGGAAAGGACCTTGATCGAGCGTGGGCGCCGTTTTGGGGGTCGGCTGTACCCGGGACGGCGGCGGTGCTCGCCTCTGTGTCTGAGGTCCACGACGCCGCACCGCAGACCACCGGTTAGTGGCGGGACGGACACTGCCGAAGGCGCTGTCGAACGAGTTCTCGAAGGAGCTCTCCAGACTGAGCGCAGCTGGAGTGGCGAACAGCGCTTCTGTCGTCACCGGACGAGGGGTGTTGGGGACGGGGTCACCGGGGGCGGCAGAGGTCAGCTGGGGTGACCCAGAGACGGCGGATGGTGACAGACGGTGGAGGGCGGTCACCGACGGACCGGGTGACACGGTGCTCGACTGTCGTTTTGAGTCTGAAAAGAGTGAGAGGCAGGGGTAAATGAATGACGATCGACTCCTGTGCACTAGCTAACAATAGAGAGTGTTAATTTTCATTTTAGTTGTTTATATGTAGGCGATAATTATGGTCAGTATCACAAAGAGTTTGACTGGTTTCGGCCTTCAATTTTTTTTTTTACTGCACATACGGAACTTATTTGTTCATAAAACATAATATCCGTTCATCAACTGCCTTGCAACGTGGGGTCTTTATTTCCGTAAATAATAAAACTTCCATGTTTCTGTAACATGAGCAGGAGCACCGCTCAAACCCATCTCTCTTCATCAGCCCGCCTTTTCGAAACTCCCGATCCCCATCCATCAAAATCCGTCCCGTTGTGCCTGCTGTACCCAAATTAACCTGCGTCTCACCTTGCGTCTTCGAGTTGGGTGTAAACACCATGACTGTGTCGCCGACAGTGGTGATGAAATCCAGGAACCCATAGATGGTCTTTGTTGCGAACTCTGTTTTTCTTTCGACACTCGGCTGGTCGGTGGTCGGCGGCGGCGCAGAGGTGACCTTTTGACGAGTCCGGGTCACCGCCGGCGTGGCTGGAACCAGAGGTCACGTCACTGAGAGAGGTAAAGGCATGGGACGGGTGAGAGGGTGCGGTTTGACGCCGTCTCCCGTAATGGAGGTGAGGAATAGAAGGGGGACTTTGGCACAAGGGAAACGAGCAACTGTTTGCGAATTTATCGGTATGTATAGGTAGAAAAATTTACGGATTTGAGCTTGATAAAGTCAGTCGCTTGTAAATTCATTGATAAGGAGAATAATTACGCCTTAGCCTATTTTATTTATGAAAAATAGCCAGACCGAACCTGTCGGTAAATTACACAAGGGATGCACGTGAAACTGCTATAAAGTATGCCGTCTTTTCCTATCTCCAAATCATATAAGCGAGGACATTTAGCCATCATAATGGATCGGTACGATGGAGGGCACGTTAGGAAGCGCATCGGAGCGTGAACAAAATGTTCGGGATCAGTGAATTTCCCTCTAATCATGACCTACTATCAAATGCGAGTGGTGAACCCGACATCACTTCCGTAATAAGAGTTGTTGTAGTTATTTCTGTTTCGACCAATAGGTGACGATGGATAAAGACATGCCAAAAAGTTAAAAATGATGCTAAATTTCAGTGCATGAGAGAACTGATAAGTTAACCAAGGAGCATTTTACCTTATCTCTCGGGCAATGCTTTACTTATTAAAAAAAAACGATCTAAATCTAACAAAAAACGCTTCGCACCATGAATCAGCAATCAATAGCGAAAAGATAACAAAATGATATATTGATTAGTTTGCATCAATGATATTGTAATTGACATTAATGGTAAAAACTTTGATTTTCTTTCGCGCATATTGTAGCACCTTGCAACTGTGCGTACCGTGCCCACTATAGCATCAGCGATCCTATAGCGCTCCTGTACTCACCGGAGGTTGTGTAGTGCGGTTCGAAGTGATCAGGGCCGACAATCAGCGTGTTCAACTGTCCGATCACTCCCTTGGGCTGCCGAGCATCTGTCGAAAAAGGCAAACGGACGGGTCAGCAAAAACGCCCGGCTATTCCTCACGTAATGGGTATCGAACTCCGTGGATTAGGTAATTAAATCTAACGGCAGCTCTGTAACTTTGGGGCCACAGAGCACTTTGAATAGCTCCGAATAAAAGAACCGTAGCGCTTACGCAGCCCGTGTTAAGCGATTGTCACTCTTGTTACGTCAGGGACTGGTTTCTTTCAGCGACATGCTGTCGATGCTCTGCTTTTCGCAACGGTTCTCTGGGCCAGAGCCCAGATGGTCCAACATATGTGCTGGATTTGCAATCAAACTGGCAACTAATCATACGCAGAGGGAAATACACAAGGCTAATCACCTTGTTAGTACTCATGAAAACACGCACATTATTGTTCGCACAGTCATTACCAGTTTGGTGTACGATAATAAGCATATTGTGCACGACGCAATGCTCATTGCTTCATATCATCCAATCACCCTCCACTGCACTTCCTTCATCACAAGGCCGCTAATTATTTTCAATTAGCATGCCTGTCATCTCCAGCCATCACTTCTATCCCTTTCATCATTTGTTGACAACGATTTCAACAAATATATGCTAATGACTGTTTTATCGAAGTGACTGAGAAGAACGCTCCGGAGTCTGAGGGTACCCGAGCGGCGAGCAAGCTCGCGGAGCAGGAAGCGGCCTTGGCTACTTGTCTGATGGCTACTCGAACTGGACGAATAATTACACCTACCGAGATGCCTCCGGGACCCATGAGGACTGAGCGTGGTCCAGAGTATATACGGGCGTATCCGCATCAGACTACCGAACTGCCCTTGAGATGGTATCTGAGGCGCGTCTTTCTTCTCAGGGGCTCAAGGATGGGTTATAACGACAAAGACTGAAATCGATCTTTCAGGATTGGGAGGGATCCTATCGCTAAACATCATAAGGCACAAGAAACAGCATGACGATTCGATCACGATAAAACGGTGATTCTCCTGTGAGCTTGGTCGAATAATAAGTACGTGACCAAAGTTTTTACTGAATCTTTTAAGATCTACTTCCAGTCATCTCCTCTTCCGATGAGTCGCCACTAATGGTATGTACCGTCTTTCTCGTGATAGATATCGTATCTATTATTTAACATTATCAGTTTTGGTACTGTCCGTGTCATCAAGATTGGTTCCAGAACTGACATCAGGACTAGTATCAGGACTGGTATCAGAAATAGCATCAGGACTGGTATCAGGACAGGCATCACCCCATGTATCAATATCAGCATCATCTACCTATTATACACCTCCCTGTCTATTGTCAGTTGTCACTGTGTGACTGTTTCACTATGCCACTGAGTCTATACCGCGTCCACTGGGCCGGGCTGCCCCAGCAGCGGAGCAGTGGCGCCGTGACCCAGCTCTCCGCAGCGGGTCTCAGCGGGACTCTGAACGGTCGCCGTCTGTCTGCTCACCATCTGACTCCTTAGCAGCTCTCCGGGATACAGCGCCCGGTGGGCTGCCTGGCGAGGCGCCATACGGCACGGAGGAGGTCATGCTTAGAGGAAGAAAAAATAGACCCACACGAGACGTAATCTCTGCAGTCTGCACTGGGTTGTTTGACAGTATCTTGAGATGTTCGGATTCTTAAAACTGTAAATTTTTCTTTTTGAAGCGGAAGGAATCAAATTCGGTTATATCGCTTCTGAGATCTACAACGAATGTGTTACGTGTTCAATCTGTTCCCTTGTAAGAATCATGCCGACGTGCTTTGGCGTAAAACCGCAGATCACGCGTCGTCGCGCACACATGATTCAGCACACTCAGTGTCGTCTGAGTCGCCCAAAGGCTACCGCAGTACCGTACGAACTCACCCTAGCGCATCATCACTGGGCAAATACTGGGACACCGTCTCCTGGGACAGCGGCATTCACCGTGGAAAGGAGCGAGTGAGCAGCCGTCGGACACCTCCCAGAGCAGAGAAAAACAGCGGCTCTCACGGCGCAGCCACGATGAGAAGAAGTCTTGGTGGAGCCACGAAGCCACCTCAAGTTCTTAACAGCGTTTGTGAAGAGTGTCGCTCAGGTACTCTGGTCTACATAATTAAGGCGAGACGAAGGGTCAGTGATCGTACGCAGCTTTGGAACGCAGTTGTATTGTTTACATCGGGGCAAAAGTGTGACTGTGGTAGTAATGGCTTTTCACTTGTTATTGTTTTTCGTTCATGTGTGGCAGGCTTAAAGGTGCGGAACATGAAAGATGATCCAAATGAATTTGAGGGTGTTAAAAAATGGTGAAAATTTATAAGCGGGAAATGACTATAATGCACATCTTGGAACCAATTCTTCCGACAAAACTAAGGTCGCATTTGTATAAGGCTACAAAAATGAGCTTCAGCATCGGAGTTTTTCATGACCACTCTTGTCTGCCCAATAGTATACAGGAGAGAGATCATTTTAATCATAAGAAAGCCCTCACCCCGCCGGCCGTGAGTCCGCCTCTGGGTCGCTCCGCGCCCAGGACGTGTGAGTGAGAAAGCGTCGCCGACCGCCCCCGGGTCGTTCAAAACCAGAGTGTGTCGGGATCCACGACATCAGATCCAGTGTCCGTGACGCCAGGTAGTTACCAGTGCCCACAAGCCGTATCCGAGTATACCAAACACACCTGCCACGGCATATCGAACAAACGCTGATTGTGTTCTGCCACTGAGACTTTGAATGTCGAGGCAGACACAAAGACGGACTGTCAACTTAGACTTTAGAGTAAAGATACGAGTAGGTGTAGTTACTCCGGGTCACTGCGACTGTAACTGACAATTTTAAGTGCGGCAATTGGATAACGCGCGACTACAGAGCCATGCCAATCGCAGTCACTTTTGTGACTGCAATTAAACTATGCACCGTATGCGACATGCTGCATGTCTGAGGCTGAACGATGCTGACATCTTATCCCCATTACCTGTGATTGACAATGAACAGATTACTACAAATTTTGACAGGTCTCTGATCGTTCTTTGATTATTGATGTCCAGTGGCCAATGCTCGTCCACTCCTGAATAATTCCGTTACGAAATCTCTCACTCACAGCTGAATTAATCCGTCAATCAACAGGTAGAACTGGTCACCATTCAGATGTATATCAGACTGCTCTCGGGGACATCGCTGAGGGCAGACAAGGTCGGAAGACGATAGAAGATAATATCCTTTGAGATGATGGTTGGCAGAAAATCGCATAGCTTAGAGCCGAAGGATGAATGGGTAAAAAACTAGATCATTCGATTCTGAAGGACATTGCTCTTAGTAACCAGGCAGGCTGCGATCATCTCGTTGATCATTTGCCGAGAGCAGTCGGAAACCGTCAGCCATTCCCGTCAAACCCATCCCCTGAGCATTGTTTGTTTGTCACCTGTGCCGACACGGGGCCCATAGGGACCGTTACGTGCTCTTGGACCGGTCGGGACCCGTCTCTGCTGTCGGGCCGTCCGACCGCGGTGGGTGGGGTCGGCGGGACTGGGCGGGGCTGCGACCTTGACCACACGCAGTCATCAGACACCGACGGCAGCGGCGGGCCGGCGGCGGCGGTGGCGGCGGCCTGGTGGCCCGGTCCTGCCCGCCCGACCTGCCTATAGGCGCCTGCCTAGCCGGCCGCCGCGCCCCGCCCCGGCTATCTCAGTATGCATGACCGACGCTAACTCGGTGTGGCCAATGGCACCAAGGTCATGACCGCACTGCGGTGTGGAAAGCGAGCGAATTAACACGCTAATCACCCGAAACCATGGAATGGCGTGGCGGGCGTGGTAGGAGGATAGGGTGTGTCTTAGGAGAGGGAATGTATGAAGGTAGTGCTTTGTGGATTAGTATTTAGTATTGAGTGAATTGAAAAGGTATATGTTAGAAGATAAATGACAAGATCACAGAACTGTTCAAGCTTGTCAAACCCACCGTGAGACATTGGCTATTAAACGTTATTATGTTTTTTAAAGCTTTTTGTGCGCAATGCGCATTCATCCCATTATAAAGGAAACAAGCACTCATATTTAATATAAGCATTCCTGTTCATAGGATAAATGAACCTTTAATTTTAAAGTATGGTGGTCCGCAAGGTTGCACTACCACTTACCTAGCATTCTATGCACCTAATCAATGTTAAATAAAAGCAGGGTGCATACCAACACTTGGGATATACCATGCTCATGTTATTGTCGTAAAACGAGGCCAGCCCATAGAGATTCAATCGCCCACAATTTAGCTGTCCATGCTTGATAGATGATCCCCTAAATATTGACCGATGAATATTGAGAGCACCATATTCCACTCCAAGATGGGTGACGCAAGGTTATTGGCCAGCGGCTCGAGTGCTCTATGGTATCTAACCCTATCAGATCGGCCCATCTGGGAGCTTCTAACCGGAGGGCCCCTCCCTACACAGGAGAGCCAAACTGCAGGCGAGTTAACACGTCTGCTTGGGCAGGGTCAGCGCAGTTAAAACAGATCAACTCTGCTGCCAAATTGCTGAACCAGATCACTTGGTGGACAATTGTCCGACAAATGGCCATTTATGACTGCCATTCAAGGCTACCGGTGAAAGATGGAGCATAGTTACCGGGTCAAACCGGCCTTAATTGGCTCACAAGGGCGTGGTAGAAAGCGAACCAGCAATTACGGCTCATTGTCTGACACTCTCAGCATGTCGGACGAGATCGTAGAGGGTTCTCCGGGTACAGACGCGTTAGTTATAATGCAGCCTGCACTCATGGTTAACTAAATTCGCCGGTGTCGCTGCGGACTGGCCGAACTGGGTTTACGTCTCGACCTCAGCGGAGTCCATCAGTAGACAACCATGGAGGTATGATGATGGCTGTTGCCCAACTCTGGTGACCAGGGCACTGCCCCAGGGGGCTAACGGTTGGCTCTATTGTGGTTTGTGTAATCGTTCCACCAGTGGTCCGTCCGTGTCCGACCTTGGGGTAAAGCGAGCGAGTTCTAAATAGTTGATGCACAGTGCTCTTCCTGGGAATTATGT